TTGTATGGCCATTCAGAGTGCGCGGTTTGTGTCAAGCTCGTACGCCCTTCATTATTATGTCATGACTATATTCAAGCTGTATCTCCTATAGACGCCGAAATCCAGACAATATACCACCACAATAAGGCAATCAACTCCACTTTGCTCGCCATACTGACAAATGCTCGTCATAACCACAGCTTAAATACCGTTCCTCGCAATGGCATCAGGAAACTCATGCTCAACAGGATATCAGCTGAGAGGGTGAGCTGCCACCCCCCTCATATTAAATATCATTGTCCCAAGTCTGGTATTATTCTAAAGATTTCGCTGTCAGGATAAAAAATATATGCCAAAAAAGAGCCCCACAGGGAGCAAAGAAACGACTCTATGGATCGTAGTCCAATGTGACACAATGCAGCGTATGCCAAGATGAACAAGAAATCGATGCTCAACCAGTATGTTGTTGATGACACCGGCAGTGACATGGCAGAAGCCGATGGTCGGCTCGGCCGCCATTTCATTAAGAAGCGTAGTTGTCGTTGATTATGTGTTTCCTTCGTGTTAAACCCACGACGGGCCAGCGCGTGCCTACTTTGATCACATCACGATGCAATCTTTGTCGTCTTTGCCGTTCTTTTGTATCTTTCCGTTGCGCGGAGGAGCAACCTCCATCGGAGTGCCCTGTCCGCTGACGGCTGCTTGAATAATAGCCAAACGCTGCTTGGCTCGCTCCTCACCAGCATCCGCAGCCTTGACATACCAGACATTGGCTTCCAGGACATCGCGACGACATCCAATACCCATCTCTGTGAAGTAACCGACGGCATATTGTGCTTTGACAAAACCTGTATCTTTTTTAGCCAGTTTATCTCTCGTATTCATGTTAAAACAAGACTCACCCAAGTCAGCAGATCGACGCGCCCACTCATAGGCCTCCTCTTCGTCCTTTTCTAAGATTGGGGGAGCGCCGACCATATACCACGCACACAAACCCATCATGGCGCCAGCATGCCCCCGCTCAGCTGCGCCGGTATAAAAATGTACGCTGAGAGCTGGATCTCGAGGGCAATTGAGCAAGCCATGCTCGTAAGCATCGCCAAGCCGATAGCTGGCCTCAGGGTGTCCCAGTTCAGCAGCTTGAGTAAAAAGCTCGGCAGCATGGTTGTCGTCCTTGAAGATATCTGCACCATATCCATTCTCGTACAAGCAACCAAGTTGATATGGCGCCGAGTTGTATTGAACATCAGCAGCTTCAGCAGCAAGCTTCATCCACTTGATTCCTTCTCGATAGCGCTTTTCTCCAAGGTCTCCAGACAGACAGGCCTTACCCAGACGCGTCATGGCACCAGGATGTCGCTTCGAGGCAGCTGTGCGCAAGAACTGTACCGCCTTGGCAGGGTCCTTTCGGCAGCCCCAGCCAAACTCGTAACATAGCGCAGTTCGATACCCAGATTCGGCATGTCCATGTTTCGCAGCCAAAACAAACAGGGGGAAGGCTGAGTTATAGTCCTCCTTACCCTTGTTGAAAAGTCCAGAGGCGAAACCGTCTGCGAGATAGTATTGAGCAAAAGGATAGCCAGCACTAGCGAGACGTTGCAGAATTTGTCGGGCTTCGCGAACCAACTCCTGTGGACTTGAGACAGAACCTTCAGCAGCTGGACTGTCACGTCCTTTTTGAGGTTTTGGACTGTTCTTGCGAGTCTTGGGTTCCGAAAAGTCCAAACCTTGTTCTTGAGCTGTTGAAATCAGAAAGATGGCAAATGAGTACTGGATCGAAGAGTCATTCGTCTTTTTGACGTTTGCACGATACATATCCAAAGTCTTTTGAGTACTGAGAAGAGACGCATTGTTGCCTATAACAGTTCGGAGATTTGAATTATCAGGAGTCAGAGGCGCAGGAGCTTGTTGAGGATAAGGGGCATTAAGCAACTCTGCATAAGTTGACAGTCTAACATCAGGAGATTTACGTGACTGAGGGCCACCTGGGATCAGGCCTGGAGAACGGCCACGAGAATCAGAATAGACGGAATATGAGGACGGTGGCCGAGGCAGAGAAGTCCTCATCTGATTACCCGGGTTTGGAGTAAGGTGACGGCCAACACTTGAAGCACTCTCAGCCAACTCAGGGGTTGAAGAACCGCCGGCTTCCACGTTGGGAGCACTTAGTGGGTAGTTTTTCTGATGGTGGTACTGAAAGAGCGGCACTTCAGGCACGTTGCCTTCAATAATGGAGCTTTCAGCGGAGTCACCCGATGCACGGCCATCGATGTTATCGTTCACACCCGAAAGAGAGCTTGCACTTGTCGTTGCCGAAGACTCAATCGAGACCTGTTGTGGGTTTGAACTCGCAGTTTCATCTGATTCACGACTGTTGCGGTATTGATCCTGACCACGAACTCTTTCCGTCGGGGTCGTCTTAGTGGATTCGGCCATAAAGGCTCCGTCATGTAATTCTCGAGGGCTCGTCGGCTGCGACCTACGACCGTGTTGCGGTGGTGGAGGAGGAGGAGCAGTTTCTGGGGGTGAGGGAAGAGGATGAAGAGTCCGGTCGACCAACTCTCCCCTCAAGGGTTGCTTCGGAGTGTATTCCACATCAGCATTCGAAGGCTGCACCCAGTCTCCCTGCTGGAAATTCACGCGAACAGGAGAGACTGGCCCATCGCGCAGTCTTGGACCCTCGACGTGGTCAAGATCGGGAATGCGAACCGGGCTATGGCGAGATGCACTGGTCGGTCTTGAAGAGGGTCTTGAGGGCGACTCGTAGTAGTTTGGGGAAGTCGCAGCAGCAGACGATGGGGGGTTAACTGCTGCCATGGTAAAGCGAATGTGAGGGTTGGCAGTATCGAAGCAGCCAAACACAACTTTGGGTATATTTTAGAACGAATGTCGAGGTGAAGCTGTAACTAGTTCGACAGCGATGACGGTGGAACGCAACTCGATAATGGTTGTATATTCAAAAATCGCGATGAAATCAGCCCAGCAAGACTGAGGCTTGCGACATGCAAAGACGTGGAAAGAAAGACGAGACGACCGAATATAGCGACTGTGGAGGAGGGGGAGAAGCGATCGTATTCTGTAGTCAGTGACTGACGGTTTAGCGCAGGTAGCGTACGGAGCGGTTATGGAGCCCGAAGATGCTGCACGAAGGATATTTGGGTGGGATCCGAAACGCGGCGATACAGCGGGTACAAGGGACAGTAGGGCAAAGAGAGAATGGATCAGCGAACGACTGGCTATGCTGTGACAAGGGGTGGTTGCAGTGAACGATAGTTGGGGAAAGATGGACGACACTGAGAAGAATCGACAATACAAGAGTTTGTGGCTCTTTCACACTTTTTTTTTGACCCCTTCTCTGATGGAAAGAATGGAAGGGAGAGAGAAGACTGGGAAAGGCCAAGACTTAACTAGTTCCAGATTTGGACGCAAGAGAGGGAAATTCCAAGCAACAAGATGAGTGGACTTGGGCTGAGATCCAATAAGGTCCTTTACGACCTGGGCGCTGCGCCGCCCGACGGAAGGATGGATATTGGTGGTTATGGTAGTGAAGGGTAGGGTCCAGGTCCAAGTGCCAACTGGAGTTTAGCTTAACTTACTGTGGATTCGTAGGGAGCAGTGGAAGCGGAGGCCCATATATGTTTTGTTTGTCTGGGGTTTATACTGTAACTAATGAATGTTTGAACAATTGACGCCCGAATTTTGGTTCAACGGAAACAGTGAATAATGTGACATGAATTAGAGTACTAATGAGTTTCTAATGAAGTGGCTCAGAGTTACTTAATCTTGGCATCTGATCCATGCTCGGATAACGACCAAGAGTCATTTGTGATTGTCAGAGAATGGAAGCCAACACTTTGGCGTGGGCAGCTGAACTGGTAATAATTAGAAAGGAACAGGGATATTTCAATCGAGTGTCACTTTGGAAGGACTACTGTCGATTCTCAGGTACCTTGCTCTTCAGCCTTCAGGGCTCTCTTGTTATACTCAAGTATTTACATCCTCATCTCCAAAAGAATATACAATCTTTCGCTTTTAAAAATTACAAAACAATTACATCACAGCAATTACGCGTTTCTAGAATAACAGATGTCGTGCAAACCCCCTTTTCCAATTCTAATACGCGGCCCCAAGGGATAGGATGGCGGCAACTAGCTACAAGAAGGCTCGGCATGACGAACTGACGGACTTGTTTTATCAGAGGAGAAATGAACGCGTCTCCAAGTGATAACTAAGCATTGAGATTTCGATTCGATTTCGTGAAACAGCCACTCAGGTAGAACTAAACAGCCTCTGTCGTGCAGCACGTCGCACACGTTTTAGCGCCATTGTGGTTTATAAGACTGTAAATAACTCAATCCAAGGGTCCAGGCCAAGCCTTGAGGTACTAGGTCAGGCCGGTGGGCTATTGCCCGCGCCAAACATTTTGATCCTATTTCCTGACCGCCAGGAGGCAGAGACTACTTGGTAGATACGTATATGTTGGCGTTTGGTTTTAAATCACTTTAGCATAAAACAACACGTTACCAACTAACTGCACAAAAACAGTCCCGATCATTTCAAGTATGCAAGCGTTGTATAAAACAGGATGGCCTCAACAATGGGCATGCAAAGCAGGATCGAATCCTTACAGCAATCGTTTAGCAGGGCTGAGCAGCCACCATGGCGTAGGTCGGCATCGTCACACAAACTACAGACAGTACTGTACCACCCCAAGTCAATGACTTGCTTGCACAAAGCAAAGCAGATCGGAGATTTCCTCCGCTGTCACCACCGAATTGGACGGGTAATCCCTCGTTGCTTTTCCTTTGTCCACAGGCTCGGGTATCCTACGTATTGCAAATAGGCACACGAGAAATGTTTTCCCAAGACTATCGCGGAAGGACGAAGGTCAATCCAAACCAAAAAAAAGTCACCGTTTGTTTGTCCTAACCTCAGACAACCCCTGCGCTTTCTAGCGGCGCAGGCTCGTCTTCCTGTTTGCTACGCGCCAAGCGCCTTGTTAAATTAGCCATCATTTCGAGATGGCCATTTCTGTATCCGGATGTACGTTGGCGTTCGGCTCTGGCGCCAAAGAGGCATCCTACAATAGTTTCCTGTCCTATGAACGATTGAAGCTTCCCTTGGTATCCCTGTCATAGCCATTATCAACTGCACTACATTTCTCGAGATGAGTATGTTGTGTACCTTTCTATACACACCAAAGCCTCTATGTGTTGGCTTTTATAATCCTGCTACGTAGTAGTTGGTTGACTAGTAGAACATCACGTTTTGATTCCTCATCTCACAAAGGCTTTCGGGGCGACGAGATTCACCGAAAGCTTTATAGGTTCGTTGAGCACCTATATAATATTCAGAGTGTTTCAACAGACGGGGCCGTTCAGATCGACTGCCGGACGGCCCCACCCTCCCGAGCCAGCCACGTCTCCAATCCGGATAACCACACTCGAAAGCATCATTTGCGATGGTAATGGTGACAGAGTTTCCAATTTGGTATGCCATACTTAACTAGGTTTCAATCTCGATATATAAGTTCTCACTTCCTTAACATCTGCCAATAATCCATCCAGTGGCAGGCAGCTCTTACATCCGCTATAAACTTGTAAGTTTCGGCCCTGGGATCATGCCTCTTTTGAATCCCGGGAACCCCACGACAATCAATGGTACTGCAACAATGCTGAAAATCTTACACATTGGTATTGACCCTTTCCATGTGAGCGATCATGACTTCCCATGGGATCCAGCCTCGGTGTGTCTGGCTGCATCATCACTGTCTTGATTCCAAACATTCTGCGAAACTTCTCGTATAAATAAATAGCAAGCTAGTGGTGTGAACGCCCACATGATGCAGTTGATCTTGCTCGTATCTCGGACTCCACGACTACCGGAGATCCACGAACTCACCTGGCTGTATGTATATCGAATAAGATACAGATGGCTAACTGAGCTCTGGTTTGATTGATATGCTACTCCGGTAGTACAAATAGGCTGAGTTATCACACAGTGGTATGTATGTTCACGTACGTACCGCACAAGGCATATCTTGCATTCTTATTTGACCAGTAAACTTGATCGTCTTCAATTAACTTTTGAGTTCACAGCCCAGCGAAGTGGAACCGCAGCCGATTCAACGGTACAAGACTCATGTTGCGGGTAACACGTGGTAACGCCATGTGTATATTGAGAAAATGCATAGTATTTGACGAAACCGAACGAGATCGTTCAAAGTCAGATACTATTTCTTCTGATGATCACAGGTTGATAATAATCAAGCCTTTGGTCAATCAGATCTGAAATTAGGAAGAATAAGATACATAACATCGTTGCAGATCATAAGCTAAAATACGTAAAACGTTCTTAATCCATACTATGCAATATGCAAAGTTGATGAGCAATGATTCATCAATCATACATACTATTGATCTGTACAGATATTTAGGTTGTTCTAACCACTGGACATTCTATTGCTTATTTGCATAATGCATAAATGCGGCGTGAGACTCTTTACACGACATGAAGAGGAAGGGAAGCTGGAATGGAAAAGGATGAGACGCTCCTATCTACTCGTCGTGGCTTATCAGCAAGGGAAAAATACATGCGGAGCAATTAGACTGAAAGGTCAGATCGGCTCGACAAGCGAGATGGCAATCAATAACTGGTCACTGACCCCTGACCTTTGCATCTTTAGAAGCTTGTTCCTGCGGATGCGGATGGAGCAGCCTGACCGCAGACAGAGCGCCCATACAGAATGACGTTGATGCATGCCATTCTTTTAGTGTGTATGTGCGTGCAATGCATGCAAGAGTTAGGTTGAGTATCGTGAAGGATTTACAGGCGTAGTTAGTCGAGTGTTGGTCTTGAATTAGCCAAGCCCTGGACTCGGAAGTGACCCTGCTCAACCAATTTATTATATATATCTCCTTTTGCTATCATGTGGCCTGACGTGAATAAATAGTAGGCAATAATAATAAGGGGCTGTCATACTTTATCAAAGCAACCCCAGAATACCTTAGTACTTAGGTACTGTTGTATCCAAACAATAGACTCGAAGCCTAAACTTGGACAAAATCGCCTGGGTTCTTGCCTTGGAACAGAAGACTCTTTCAGTATTGTGATTGAGCTGCCGGGGCAACCGCCAGGCCATTAACCCACAGAAAGAAAGCCCCTGCAAATCTCCAAGCCCAAGGGGCCACATGCCCGGACTATTTCAACTTAGCGCCATCAACTGTTGCAACCATCAGTTGAATGACTATTCTCTAATTGGCCATCGTCCGCCCCCTTCCCATGCTTCCTCTTGCTCAGATTAGCCAGACTAACGGCAAGGGAAGGAGCAACAGACCGTTGGCCGTTCAATCGCCTTCTCTCGTTCGCTCACTTTCTCTCTTCCCATCTCAACTCAACTAAACCCGTGCAGACACAACCGTTCGTTGTCGTTGTCTTCACTCGAGGGACGTTGACTCGGTCGCTTCTCATTGTATTTTGCATTCACTTTCGCTCTAACTCTCGCTCTCGTCATTGATCACGACATTTATCGCTCAGTGTCGTCCCCTGCAGTCACTGCAACAGTACTCTTTTCTACCGAGACCGAAAAACCCTGGTCGCCCCATCACGCTCGCTCGCTCGCTCTGCTCTGCTCCACGCCAGTGTTCAGACATCAACTTTCATCTATTTCAAACAGCGCCGTCTTTGTTTCATTCGATTTGACTGGATGAAAAGTATATCCAGCTGTAATCCCATTCGACTCCATGATTTTCTCTCCACACTGAACATTGACAACTCGACTCTTACGACATCCGGCCGGGCACTGCGTGCCCTGTGCTTCTTCACCTTGCTCGTTTCCTAAGAGACCTTCCCAGTTTTACAGGGATACTCCCAACTCAAACCTAATCCTCAAGAGAGGTTGTTGTAACAACCACAACACTCCCGTGAGTAACAGATCTTCTCATCGAACTTGGTTCATCACAACTCGGCTCTACATTTTTTGGTCTGCTTTGAACACACAACAGATTTTGATGTTGACCTGCCCTGACGTTGAACTTCTTATCGTCGCGTTTCCCCTTTTTTGTTGTTGATGGACAGCAACCTCACCGATAATTGCTCATTTCCTCCCTCGAATTCAAGGCGCTCGGCCTCATAACGCCTCCCACGTTTGACTTCGCGATTCAATCTATTCTAACATCATTCTGTCAGTGTAATGTCTCTTCCTGAACGGCCGGGCGCAAACCCGACCTACAACCAGCGCAATGTTTACCGCAACTCACCATCGCGACGCTCGAGACCAGTCGATATCGAGACTGGTGGTTATCATGCAGTAGACAGTCTGGCTTCACACCAACGTGGGAAATCCGGCTCCTCCTTCGCTGAGTCTATCGGTGTTAATTCGAATACAGAGAGCATGCCTCTGTCGCCCACATCCCCCGATGGTCAGCCGCGCCGCGACGGTCCAGAACAGCCTATTTCTCGGAAACGAAGTTTGATTCGCCCTGAGAGAAACCGAATTGACAGAGACCACCGGAACTACCATTACCACAAACACGCTGCTCATATGAATGTCTTACCATCATCAACAGGAAACGACCCTATCTATGAGGACTTTGAGGCATCAACAGAGCATTCCAACTCGAATTACAACGAGGGCGGCTCAGACAGTTCTCCTCGACAAAGGCGAAATGTTAGTGGGGAGCAGGAGAAGAGCGCTGCTGTTGCATCCACTGTTCCCACACCAGATCGCACAAAGTCAGGTAAGATCAAGAGAAAGTCGAGGCGCCATTCGAAGCCGCCCAAGCGAATCGAAGAGCAGCTTCGGCCACCTACTTTCTGGAATGTTTACTGCGCAATCGTTACCTTTTGGGCGCCTGGCTTCATCATGAAGTGCTGTGGTATGCCAACAAGGGCGCAGCAACGGGCTTGGCGTGAAAAGATGGGTCTCATCAGTATCATTCTCATCATTATGGCCATTGTCGGTTTCCTCACTTTTGGATTCACTGCCACCGTTTGTGGTGCTCCTCAGGAGCGATTGCGGGTCAACAAGGTTGATGGCGGCAACATGATCTTTCATGGTGTGGCCTACGACTTGTCCAAATCTCATCATCCTCCAGCACAGGGCATGCCCCTCCGGGGTGACGGGCTGGGCCCCAACGTTCTTTACGATCTTCCAGAGAAGAACGCGGGCAAAGACGGTAGCTTTTTGTTCCAGAACGTCAACGGCCGGTGCAAGGGTCTGATTACACTTGCTAAAGACTCGGATGTGCCTACAAATGACGATGGCGATCTGGCGTGGTACTTTCCTTGCAAAACCTTTAACCAGGACGGCTCAAGCAAAGTCAACACAACCACACCCTATTATTCTGGCTATGGTTGCCACACCACCCTCGACTCCCGAAACGCATTCTATCTCGACTTGAGCGGTGCTGCAGATGTCTACTTCACCTGGGATGACATAAAGAACAACTCTCGCAACCTCATCGTTTACTCTGGCAACGTCCTTGATCTCAATCTCCTCAATTGGTTCAACTCGAGTCAGGTTGATATCCCCAAGCGTTTCAAAGACCTCCGAGACAAGAACTCGGCGGTCAACAAGGCTATTCGGGGCCGTGATGTTACTCGCATGTTCCAGTCTTCCTCGGACAAAAAGTATGCGGAGTGCTTCGAAGAGATCATCAAGGTTGGCTCTGTTGACACCGAGACAATCGGTTGTATAGCCTCCAAGATTGTTCTTTACTGCGCGCTAGCTCTTATTCTATCGGTTGTTGGTGTTCGGTTTTTCTTGGCCATCATCTTCCAATGGTTCATTTGCCGGAAGTATGCGCCAACCAAGACATCCCAGAGCTCCGACCGTAGAAAGCGCAACAAGCAGATTGAGGATTGGTCAGAGGATATTTACCGCGCTCCTATCAGATTGCCAGGTGATATCGGAAGCACTGTCTACGGATCCTCTGACCGAAGCAGCAAGCGCGCATCGTTCCTCCCTACTACCTCTCGATTCTCATCTGTTGGTGGCCCCGAGATCAGAGCGCAAGGCGGGCGACGCATGCCAACAACCATGGCTAGCCAAAGTACCTCGAACCAACTACTCACACCAAACTCCATGTTCAAGCAGGGCAATGACAGCCGCGCCAGCTTCCTTCGTACCGACCCCTACTCAAGCACATCTACTGACGGCCCCGGCCCTGCTGGCTTTATTCATGATGCAGTGGTTCCTCAGCCTCCTTCTGACTGGATGCCTTTTGGTTTCCCATTGGCTCATACGATGTGCTTGGTCACGGCGTACTCTGAAGGAGAAGAGGGCATCCGAACTACTCTGGACTCGATTGCAACCACTGATTACCCCAACAGTCACAAGGTCATCGTTGTTATTTGCGATGGTATCATCAAGGGTCAAGGCGAGACCGTATCGACGCCGGACGTTTGCTTGGGTATGCTGAAGGATCACTCTATTCCTCCTGACATGGTTGAGCCGTTTTCATACGTGGCTGTTGCCAGTGGTTCCAAGCGACACAACATGGCTAAGATCTATTGTGGTTTCTATGACTATGGCAATAACTCTCGCATCCCTGCTGATCGTCAACAACGCGTGCCTATGATGGTCGTTGTCAAGTGTGGAACTCCCGACGAAGCCACCAAGTCCAAGCCTGGTAACCGTGGAAAGAGAGACAGTCAGATCATTCTCATGTCGTTCCTTCAAAAGGTCATGTTTGATGAGCGAATGACAGAACTCGAGTACGAAATGTTTAACGGCTTATGGAAGGTGACTGGCATTTCGCCAGACTACTACGAAATTATCCTCATGGTTGATGCCGACACCAAGGTATTCCCGGACAGTTTGACTCACATGATCTCTGCTATGGTCAAGGATCCTGAGATCATGGGTCTTTGCGGCGAAACCAAAATCGCCAACAAACGAGACAGCTGGGTCACAGCCATCCAAGTGTTTGAGTACTTTGTCTCCCATCATCTTGCCAAGTCTTTCGAATCTGTCTTTGGTGGTGTCACTTGCTTGCCCGGTTGTTTCTGTATGTATCGCATCAAGGCTCCCAAGGGTGGCCACAACTACTGGGTTCCCATCCTAGCCAACCCCGACATTGTTGAGCATTACTCTGAGAACGTGGTCGAGACCTTGCACGAGAAGAATCTGTATCTCCTGGGTGAGGATCGCTTCCTAACAACT